AAGGTCTAAAGCTAACACCTAAATGGACAAAACCCTCACTTAAAATTCAATGAACTGAACTTGGAATTATGGGCCCAGGCACCCAAGACTGAAAGCTACAGAATGTTGCATGCAAGCCACTGGAATTACGAAGGGAAGGCAAGCAACATCCAACTGGACAAGTCTTCCACCCAACCTGAAGGACCACAGAATGCAACAAACCTAACTTGGAATTATGGAGCCAATTCATGCCTCATTCAACCTGAAAAAACAGAGATCATCCTGCCTGGGATTACGAACTGAAATCTTAACTCCTCAATCTGGGAGGCAAGGCAACACCCCTCTCTCCAGAATTATGAGGAGGATGTGGAACAAACAAAGTTCAACCAATGGCTCACAGATTGTGAGCACAAATTAGTGCAGATTGCTAAATACCAACCATAAGTCATGTTTTATTATATTGTATAAGGTAGAAAAATACCAAATATTGTCATGTACTTTTATTGTTTATATGTTCTTTATTTAAATTTTTATGTTACTGTGAAAAAAAATTTTTAACATTTATTATTAGGTAGCTTTGCAATTAAAACACTTCATTGTTTTCCTGAAAACAAGAGGGAATTCTTAATAGCTGTGGTACTTGAAATTCTTTTATGCAGGATTAGAGAAAATTAATCTATGAGTCCTTTCTTTATTTTTACTAGCTATGTTTTTGTGTACCAGCAATACCAAGCATGGGGTACTCGTATACCTGATTTAATTTTATTGCTCATCAGTATCTCTACCAGCTTACCCCCAAATTGAAATTCTTTTAGGCATGATTAGAGTAAATTAATCTATGAGACCATGGTATGGTCAAATACACCTATCAAAAGGGTTTGACCTCCTGCATCCAACACTGTAATTAGATCTGAAATCAGTCAAGAGATGACAGAGCTTTGAGCTAAAAGTTTGTACTCGAAAAAAAAACCAGAAAACTCGAAACCATTCTATGAGTCACTATGCCACAGCTAAAAATAGTTTGTATAAAAGTTATGCTTGTAGCATTTATAAGAGGAGTGATATTTGATTGAGAATCACATGCCATACAAAAGTATTAATAGTTTGTTGTTCCAGTTCTGAGGGTAAGAAAGCTATTTATATATTTTTAAAAAAAATATTATGATGTTATAATCATGTTTACTTTTTTATCTTTTTAAACTGATACATTAATATTTACTTGCAGTGACAGTAAGTTCTTGGAACTACATCCTGGAACGTCTGAAAATACTGTATTTTTGTGGAAGATAAATGTGAAGTAAGTATAACTGTTGTGATGCTGTGTCTATGAAGATCAGTAGAAAGTAAATGTAGTTTTTAAAACAGTAGTAGGCACTTTGCTCAATTATATCTTTAATGATTGTAAGAGTATACTATATTTTGTCAGGATAAATTTTTCTTTTTCGTATATGTTGTTACTACCACTACTAAAAAAAAATCTGTAATTAATTGTCTTTTATTGTTCTCATTGTCATTTTAACACAATTATTATTATAAGTTGTGATTATTATGTTTTTTGCACTCACTGCTACCATTTGAATTCTATAATACACTATAATTATTATGTTCCTTTTGTTTTTACTTGTTGTAACTTGCTATAATAGTAATGCATTGTAACTATTCAATTGTGTTTTTTGTTTATACAGTTTCTGATCATTACTGCAATACACTGCTATTTTATTTGTAGAAGAGATGTAAGACCTTTTAAATGTAAACATATTTGACACAGTTTTTGATCTGTTCTCCCGAAGAGCTAAGAAACTTGGGTATAGACACAGATTGACAAATTTTTGTTTTGTTTTATAGTGGAATTATGAAACCTGAGTGTAGACACAGATTGACAAATTTTTGTTTTGTTTTATAGTGGAATTATGAAACCTGAGTGTAGACACAGATTGACAAATTTTTGTTTTATAGTGGAATTATGAAACCTGAGTGTAGACACAGATTGACAAATTTTTGTTTTGTTTTATAGTGGAATTATGAAACCTGGGTATAGACACAGATTGACAAATTTTTGTTTTGTTTTATAGTGGAATTATGAAACCTGGGTATAGACACAGATTGACAAATTTTTGTTTTGTTTTATAGTGTAATTATGAAACCTGGGTATAGACACAGATTGACAAATTTTTGTTTTGTTTTATAGTGGAATTATGAAACCTGAGTTTAGACACAGATTGACAAATTTCTTGTTCTATTTTCTAGAGCAGTGGTGGCAAACTATTTTATAGTACCCCATTTCTAAACATGTATTTTGTTGTCTCCTACACACCCCATATAAAAATAAAACAGGTCTTAAAATGGTACATAGCATAAGGCAAACAGTTTTAGCCTACTCACCAATTTAGTGTGAAAAATGTGTTGAACTTGGGATGAGGTTCATTCTTGGCTGAATTGTTGGCACAGCAACTTAGAGATCCCACTCTACCTGCAGATGAGATCACTGTTTTGTTTTGATTGCTGTCAGAGCAGAAAACACCAACTTGCACAGATATGTTGATGTAAAAAGCAAAAGCACATCCATTATTTTGTCATGACAGGTCAAGGTATTATTTAAGAACTAGCATCTGGAAATTCCCAAGAGGTTTTGACTTGAATTCTGCCTGAAAAGTTTTATCACTGGGTAGTTCTATAAGCTTTTCCTGAGCTGCCATTTGCAGCTGAGAAGTTATGCTGTCATTAAATGGAATCTTGATCCCGTTGTGTTCTCCTGATGATTATTGGAATTGATCTGAAGTTTTTTCAGATGAATAGAAGCAGTGTCATGAATAAGACTATGGTGTAACTCATTCCAAGAATTCACTAATGCAAGGAAATATTTCTCAATTTCCATTCACAGACTGGCTTTTCCACAACACTAGTTGTTTTGTGAAAAACAGACACTTTTATCACTCAGTTGCAAAATATTGCTATTCTGGCCTTGCAGTGACAAGTTAAGGTTGTTGAGTTTGTTAAGAATATCAGCCAGGTAACACAATACTAAAAGTCACTTTACATCTATAAATTGTACTGCTACTATAGAGTTGCAGTGTAACAAAAAATATTAAATTTATCTTTCAGCTGCATAGTGTCACTGAGTGCCTTCCAACAAGACAACCAGCACACCTCTGTATGCAGCAGGAGCTTGTAATACAAGAATCTCATTTCTTTACAAAGAATGGAAAACAGTCTGCTGTTCAAAACAAAGTTCACAACACTTACAGCATCTTCTACCTCTTTGTTTGCTTTTGGCTGCAGTTTATAGTGTATGATGCAGTGTGTAAGTGTAACTCTTGAAACATGAGTACTTACTTTGTCTCTGAACTTTTTCGTATTTCCCATAGGTGCAACTGACCCATTAGTGTAGATCTCATAACAATTAATCCAAGAAAGATAGTTTGTGGTGAAAAACTCCTCAACAAGAGAGAGAAGATTGCTTTCCCTGTAACTCTCTCTTCCTTCCAGTGTTTGACTAAACAGAACCCTTTCACACTCTTCTTTTTCTTAACAGTATCATACAAATACTAGAGGCTGAGCTAAATTTGCAATATCCCATATGTTTTTTGGCTTTATGTTTTTACCATTCAGATAAAATATATTAAAGAGGCTTTCAAAACTTTTGATTGTATGGTGAATTTGGGACTATTCTGAATGTTTGTTATTAACTGCATTTTCATATCAGCAAAGATTACATATATATATACATCATGTGACAGTGTCATGTGATAGGCTTGATGACCTCGCTATATTTCTCTCCATGTGGGATCTCACACATTTTTTATGGAAGCAAGAAGAACTGGTGTTTCTCCCATATGTTTTTTGGCTTTATGCTTTTATCAATCAAGTAAAATATTTTAAAGAAGCTTTCAAAACTTTTGATTGAACAGTGACTTCCTTTTCAAGCATTGTGCTTTGCTTTTTCAGATGTTGCTTGAAATACTCGATGGTTTTACCCACATACTCAAAGTGTTTGGTTTCGAAAAGCCTCATAACTTTATTTGACGTTATGCAGTCATTACCTACAATCTGTGGACAAATAATGGCCTTTGGGGAGTTTACCCCCACAGTTTGTGCACTGGCTCAAGAGCAGTTATGGAACCTAACTGTATATACAGGCTAACACATTTCTTGTATGCTCAAGAGGAACTATGAACTTGAGTGTAGGTGCAGGCTGACACATTTCTTACTCTGTTCTGTAAAGGAGCTATGAACCTTAGTGTAGGTACAGGCTCATTTATTTATTGTTCTATTTTGTAGAGTGGCTGTGAACCTGACTGTAGGCTGACACATTTCTTGCTCTGTTCTGTAAAGAAGCTATGAACCTGAGTGTAGGTACAGGCTGACTCATTTATTGTTCTATTCTGTAGAAGAGCTATGAACCTTAATGTAGGTACAGGCTGACTCATTTATTGTTATATTCTGTAGAGGAGCTGTGAACCTGAGTTTAGATACAGGCTAACTCATTTATTCTTCTTTTCTGTAGAGGAGCTATAAAACCATTTGAGTGTAGACACAGGCTGACAGCAATGAGTTTAGAAATCAACTTGAAGAAAGAGTGTCCTGGTCGATGGGATTGTCTTGAATCAAGCAATGCTGTGAAAAGTACGTGTGGCTTACAATAATTAATTTAAAACTAAGCATATTTCAATAACTGAACTTATCTTTATGTATGATCTGTTTTGTAACCTTTTCATGTGTTTTATGTAAGATGTGTCTAAGGTAAATCAGCTGACAGGAGAAAATTTGACTGCAGTACAATAGTATAAAATAAAATGATCAAAGTAACTTGACTTAAATATTTTCAACAGAGTGACATTATGCTTATCAAATTTAGAAATAAACCACTATAATAGATGCTTAAGATTAGTCAGTTAAGAAAAAGTTTGATTTATTAGGATTTTAGTACTGTACCCTGAGAAATAAGTTTTGTTTTGGTGATCAGGACTGTCATCAGATGTCCCATCAAACACATGGCTACTTGTGAATAAACAGTCAACTTTGCCTATAGCTGCTGTCCAAGCAAGCCCCAGTAAGGCTTCTCTCCAACAGTCAAAACTAGTGAAAACTCAAGGCCAACGAGAAGGCAGTCGTTCACCTAAATCTATGTCACAGAGATGTGTGCAGTCGCATGGACAAGGCAATTTATTGTCTAGTAATTGTTGTGGTCAAGGAGATAGTAAAAGAGAAATGAGTGAAAAAGCAGATAATTTATGTGTTAATCAGGTATTTGTAAAGATTTTTATTTTAAGCACATATAGACTTGTTTAGAAAGCTTTGTTTCAGATAAAAATTAAATAAGTTACTAATATTTGATCATGAGGTACTGTTTTTCTTTCTAAAAATCACAGAATGCAATGGGTTTTTATAACTTTCAAGAAATAACTACTATTTTCCTCTTATAAACTTCAACAAGCAATTAAATACTTGTTTTATAAACATTAAGAACAAAATATTTTAGCAGCATTTGATAAAAAGATAAGATTGTAATTTTCTAACAGAAACCCACTTGTATGGTGCCCCCATTGAATTTTGCCAAACAAGAACAACTGGCTGCTCTTGGTGTCACTGGACTAGATAACTTGGGAAACACATGCTTTATGAACAGTGTTTTGCAGTGTCTTGCCAATACAAGAGAGTTCAGAGACTACTTTTTAGGTAAGTGTTACACATATTTCATTTGTGAGGATTACCTTATAAATTGAATTTTTTTTTCAGAAATAGCATGGTAAAAACTTACTAAGCCTTTAATAATTAGGTTTCTTAAAATACAAAAAAGAGACAAAAATGCTGATATTTTTCATGACTAGTAGCTTATATGATCATTTAAGTCTAACAACTAATTAGTTACTAATATATTCTTTCATTTAAATCACTAATTACCAATTAGTTTTAATCCTGTATTTTGGCTGCTAATTTGGTGCTATCTCTATGGTAGAAGACAGGATTTGAAACTGGGTCTTCTGTTCTTGAAAGCCAGATGTGCTATTTCCTTGTTTAGACACTCATGCCATTTAGACTCAATATGACACTAACTGTTTGAGTATTTTCAAGGGGAATATCCAGGTTTTGCTAAGTTATTTTCTAGGTTGAAATTGTGTGTTACAAGTTAGTTGGATTTAAAAGGCTATGACTATCTTACTTTATCTTGTGTGAGGTTCACATCCCATTATTTTTGCTCTTCATTAGGTCTTTAATTGAGTTTTTTGGTGTGTACTAACTGAAATATTCCATTGTGAATTTTGAAGGCTGCCCTAACTTTATACTCTGCAAATCCTTTGAAAAGGTTTTCTGAAAGATCTTTGACACAAGGGAATACATCTGTAAGTATTTTTTCTGTTACGAAGCATGAAGGAAAATATATCATTACCAAGTTCTATTTATGATGGATACTCTGAACACATGATAAAGAGGAAAGTAAAGGAAACAAATGCTAAGCATAAGTAGGAAGAAAGTTACAGATATAAGCCATATTCATCTCTGTCAAAACTCTCAGAAAATGTTTAAAGGACTTGCAAACATCATAAAGTCGGGAAAGTATTAAGAAGTCACAACACAATATAATCTTAGTTAGTGCACTTCAAACCAGCTAAAAATCCAATGGAAACCAAAAACATTTTATGCAACATTTCATGTAAATGTGGACTCCGATACATTGCAGAGACAAAAATACCAACAAAAGTCAGAATTCAGGAGAGGAATAGATGACCTAGGCTTTGTGAGACTACCTACAGTAAATCATATAGTCAGAGAAGTAGATTATACAATACAGTGGAATAATAATAATAAATGTTTATTGTTGTTTTTTTTGGTATTGAAAACCATGAAGTTGTAAGTACTTTCTGCAAGGCTATGGCTATCAGCTATCAAATATTGTCATGGTTAGAAACCAGTGTGATCACCAGAGCATTTTTAAGGAACTTTCAGTGTGTGTGGGAGGGTAAACTTTCCAAAAGGGCCCAAAAATTGTTCCATAATCCATCGTGTAAATCTATCAATCACAATAAGTATCATTTCCAATCAAAATACCAATATATGAGGACACACTAGTTATATAAATGAGCAGTTTTCTTAGTCTGTAATGGAATTATGATTAAAAGCTCATTAAATAATAGTTTTACAACTTTGTTCTACAAAGGCTACATCAAAATATATTAACACAGTGTCAAATTTTTCCTTCAGTAGTAGGGCGGGAAAGTGGAGGGCCCACTGGGGGAAATGCCCCACAACTTAATATGTCCAAAAATGTAAAGGTTATCGCCTATCAAAGTCTAATTAATAACTAATTGTCTACCATGTGTTTTGGATGCTTATCTACTGCCACCTTCAGGGAATATTGAGAGGGAGTGTATGTGGTGACAAAAAACCAGGATTTGAACCTGGGTCTTCTTGCTAGAAAAATGTGTGCTATCTTCATGCCTAAGTTCTTACCAAATGTAACTTGATTTGGCTACCTATCTGGATATTTTTAAGAGAGATGTTCAGGTTTTGCTAACTACTCTGCTAGGTTGTTTGTGTGTAAGTTTCTTTTATCTTTCTTTTTCGTTTAAATGGCTCTTATCATGTTGTCTTAATAAAATGTTCTTTTTCAGGTAAATATAATGGTAAAACAACAATTATTTGTTAGAACTTTTTGACATATGTTGAGTTACCATAAAATCTTTCAGAAAGATGAATTGAGTTTTGTGTTTGGTAGTAGTTATATATATTACCTCATTGACTACAGCTGCTCTAAACACCCACAGAATGTTTGCAAGCCGTACACTATATAAGGCACAACTGCCAGAGGTGGACCATTCCCTATATGGCGAATCAGCAGTCAGTGGATTAAACACTATTTTTAAATGACAGAAGTACTATAAAAATATAGTGCACTAAATCCTTTCATGAGGAATGTATTATAAAACATAAAGTTTTTGTATGACAGAAAACTAATAAACTGATGTATATGAAAGTTCTACACAAGATATGAAGTAATTATGGGACAGTCCTTCCCAAATTTGGTCTGGATCACTTTGAAGCATTTTATATAATGGGTAGATACGGCATTTTGAGGTTTTTGGTTAATAACTGTAAAGTGTGATCATATTTGTACCACATTTCATGGGGACATTAAGGTTGAGGGTCTTCATACACAACATTAAATGATCCGGATCATTCATCATTCTGGATATGAGAAGGATTTTCTGAGTTTTTGAAGGTGAAATTTGATGTTACCTAATAATTATAAATGTATGCATTCTCAAAAAGGAGTGACAGGATAAGGATATGCAATCTCTCCAATTTCTCTTGTTGTTTCTGTTGTTAGCTGTGACCTCCTCATCTGTTTCTCCTCCATAGTTACATTGCTGTTCCTGTTAGTTGGCTGTGTTCTGTTAATCTGTTTATCTTTGAAAGAATTTGTTGCTAGTTATGACATTAATTTGTATTAACCACTGTAACCCAATAGCACAATGTTATGGTGCAGGTTTATGTTGCACATAAATCCAAAAATGAAAATGTGATTTGTCAAATGTATTGACTGATCCCAAATCATTTAAAACCATACAATACATGTTACTTATACTAATGTAACTGCTTAAGGGCATACACATAGAATGAGATATACATTTGCATGATGAATTTTTCATCAATGTTATATGATATGTAATTTCTTAAACAAAGACAGTTTCTTTCTGTGTTTTGGAGACACTGTAGAAAACAATGTAATGAGTCATATATTAAAAATCAATGTGCTCTTTCATATACAACCAACAAAACTGAAAATAAAATTGTAATGATTTGTGTAGTTTTAGTAAAATTTTAGAACTTTCATCATATGAAATTTCTCAGAGCAGTCAGTCATCTACAAAGAAAAACAATTGTCAGCTGGTGGATGTTTTGAAAGTACTGTAATAACTGCCATGACTTATACTGTACAGTTGTTAAACACAATATTAACTTTTTTTAGTACCAATACTAACAGTATTGTTTGCCTGGAGTATATTCATAGTTGCTAATTTTTACTTGATTATTTCTTTATTTGTTAGGCAATAAAACTTGTAAGCTAGTACATTAATAATTTTAATTGATTCTTTGTTTCTTGACTAGATGGGCTCTACCAGTCAGAAATTAATATGAAAAACCCACTGGGCATGGGTGGTAAACTGGCTGCAACCTTTGCAGTACTAATGAAAGTATTATGGTCAGGAACTCATCGTTCATTTGCTCCTACCAAATTGAAGACCTTGATCAGCTTGAAGGCAACACAGTTTACAGGGTTTGCCCAACATGATGCTCAAGAATTTATGGCATTCTTGTTGGATGGGCTTCATGAGGTTTGTATGTTTGGTAGTATTATCAAATATATCAGCAGTAAACAAGGTTTCCTGAGATAAGAGTGGTTAAACAGTAAGATTGGTGATACGTTACAAATATAGTAAAATGGCCTGCTGAATTATCAATCGGTAAATGCCTACTAAAAATATTACTTGTAACAGCTACTTTCACTAACTAGCAAGTTTTATATTTGTTCCTAGAACTCTGGATATTATCGATGTAGAGAGATAGATAGAGACATATCAAACACAAAGTTATGTCCATAGGAATAAAGTTTTCAAATACGTAACAGTTTTTCAAGTGCTCAAAAGTATTATAAAGTTAAAGTCAAGAATTATTACTTGCAAAAACAAACCCAAGCCCTTAAGGAGAATGTTTGAAAGTGGGGTTCTAATTTGTGAGATCAAAAGCCAATGTGTATTGTGCAAAGCACAATCAGCAAGCTATTGCTATGGAAGTCTAGGGATATGCAACTATTTCAAGTGAAGAAATGCTAATGTTTCATCAGATGAATGTAGACTATGTAGCAAATGTTAAATACCATAAGCAGTTGCACTATAACTATATAAGCATAATTTTTTATGGCACAAAAATAGGGGAGCTGGCCAAACCTTCTCAACCTCTCCTGCGTATGTACATGAAACTAAAAACATTCAAGTGGGTTTTGATCCAGAAATGCTAATGTTTCATCAGATGAATGTAGACTATGTAGCAAATGTTAAATACCATAAGCAGTTGCACTATAACTATATAAGCACAATTTTTATGGCACAAAAATAGGGGAGCTGGCCAAACCTTCTCAACCTCTCCTGCGTATGTACATGAAACTAAAAAACATTCAAGTGGGTTTTGATCCATGGTTTTTTCTATTTTAGAAGATACTTGAAATGTATTTAATTAGTAAATATGAAGTTCATTGCTGTGCCATCTACTGCAGTGTTAAACTTTTGTATGTTTTTGTGTAGTTATAATCTTGAAAACTGTTTACTGAAAATATTTTTCATTACATTTCAGGATCTAAATAGAGTTAAGAACAAACCATACACAGAGAATGTAGACAGTGATGGTCGACCTGATGAGGTAAGATGTCATTCAGTTACAGGTTGTGTTCAATTTTACAGTTGTTTTTTGTCATCTTAATGAGATAAGCAGTTATTTGATCACCTGTAATGTTCGATTTTTGGACATTGTTCATGAGCTTGTTAAGATAAACATTGCTTGGGGATGTGTAGTAATTAATCTTAAAATGTACGTCTGAAATACATTTTTTCAAACATGAATTAATTTTGTCTGAAAAAATGTACATCTGAAATTTTTTCAGACAAAATTAATTCATGTTTCATTTAATCATGTAGTGTATCTTGGTGATTGTTGTAGCTTTTTATTTGATATATTCCTGGAAATAAATTTGGCTGTTGTAACTGCATAAATTTGCTGTAATGTGTAAGAGAATTCTATGCTGAGTTTCAAACGTTGTTTATTTTTAGGATATAGCAGATGAAGCATGGCATCTTTACAAATCAAGAAATGATTCTATAGTGGTAGATCTTTTTCAAGGCCAGTATAAGTCCAAGCTTGTTTGCCCAGTTTGTAATAAGGTAATGTCTGTCAATCAGATTTCATCAGGTGACCACTTACAGTCTAAATAATAATCTTATTAATATATTTACACTTTGTTCATGGATATTATTTATGTATCTGCACAACTGTAGAACAAATAAAATATGATGTGTATAAAGTTTTTAAAATTATTCCTTTTTTTTATTTGTTCACAACTGGAAGCATGTAAGGTCATTTTGTTTGAACTTTAACATCTTTTAATGCTGTAAGTTTTTTTTTAAGCCTTTTCTGGATTGGGGAGGTATAACTGTTATCTTTTGATTTTTTTTCCTTCTTACTTAACCAAATTACATGAAACTTAGGACAGACTTACTAAATAGTATTTAGTTTTGGCATAAAAAAATTGTATAACTTGATTTAGTTTTATCTTATTTTTTATGTTATAAGGCACTTTTTAGAAAAAAAAGTACTCTTTTATTTTGTCAGTTGCTGTATTCATCACTATCAATTCTTTTATTTATCTGCATTACTTGAATTCAGTAAATTTAAAAATGACTTTCAATAAATAAGGAAATGAGTCTTTAGAATATTTTGCTGTCATTACTGTACTCCCTAAGTTTTAAGGGAGTACAGTAAGTGACAGTCATGGATGAAACTTATCATAGCTTTCAAACATTTTTATTTTAATATAAAAAACATTTTAGGAGTGAATAGAATGTCAGAAAAATATATGAAACATTCCCAGGTCTGTGACTTGTTTCAAAGTCTTCCAAAACTGTAACTACATTTCATTGTTTTACTCTGCATGAGCTAGGTCTGGTCAATTTTCCACAGAACCATAAATTACATCTCACACTATTTTGTTGATTGTACATGGAAATAAATAGTTTATAATCTGCTCTATACAATGGTATTTAAACTTTGACTGTAGATATTTTATAAGCAGAGATGTATCATTAGTTCTGATAAAAGGGTGGCAACAACAGTCTGTTCCAATGAAATCAGAAAGAAAGTCGTGAGAAACAAAACATTGAGAATTGTATAAACCTATACCTTGGAATGTTTAGAAAAATCTATATGTGTGTTGTTTATAGTTGAGGCTCATCAGATCTGTGTTAAACATGCAAGTTTGAATTATTTATCAATTTTCTTTGTGAATTGCACTGAATAAATATTAAAAGTGACAAAAGTTGATTCTAAAATATTTTTTAGCAAACAATTCTTGAAATAGATTTAGAATTATTATTTTTACTTAAATTTTGAAATTTGATTTTTAACCATATACTTTTCAGTCATTTCTTTTATTCCTTAGAAGTTCAATAAAACATTATGAAGGTGATTTTTTTAGCATTAAAATTTGGAGTCAATCATACAGAAATGCTATGTTTTGGAGGCAACAAGAGAAAATCTTCTAAACTAATTTCATATATAACTGCACACATTTAGAATGTGATCTCTCATTTTGAAAAATGCAATGAAACTCCCAAAATGTCCTTTTGATGTTGATAAAAAGTCTTTCCAAAGCAAGGCTTTTTTTTGCTCAGAACCATTCCATTTTGCACTTGATTGGCACTGTGAAAATGATTTTTCAACATGTTTATGTTGAAACTCTGTGCTCTTAGTAGAAACAACAATAAATGTTCTTCAGTTGGTTCTTATTACTTTTGTTGGTTTGATCAGTTATATCTTAGTTGTCAATCATAGGATGATCTAAGACAATGAAAGTAGTTATAATGACAAAAACAAAATATTTTTATCTTTCTATTCATTTTGATTCACAGTTTTTTTTTGTGTTTTCTGTTAGTTGGCAACATTCTTGAATGACCTCTCTTTCTGACTCTTTAACTTTAACAAAAAAATCATTATGACTGCATTCTTAATGTTGGTATTTTATACAAACATGCACCTTCCAACCTTTCAGTTGCAACTGAGAGGTAAAAATTATTTTTGGACATTCTCCCACTATATATATTGACTAGTTTAGCACAAAATATCTCTGTTGTAGGTACATAGCTTTGTAAAAGGCAATGGACTTTCACCAAAATCTTGTCACAAATGAGGCGAGGACTGATTTTAGTGCTTTTTTTTTCTTATTTGCCAAATATTGTGATGACCAAAATAGCCACTCATTTCTTTACATTAGACTTGCAGTTTTAGGGTTCACTTGAGGACAAACAACTTTCATTTGAGAATTCTAATTATGGAAAAGAAGCCTAAGCATATTATAATGCTATAAATGACTAACTGTCCAGATACATAAAACAATTATAAAAATAAGTAATCTTATAGTATTACCAGTATAATAGTTTAGTTTGATTTTTGGTTACATATGTGATATACTTATCTTCTGATACTGTTTTCAAGTTGATTGAAAAATTAATAAAAAATTTAGAATATGTATTCAAATTGATTACAGTGTTCAAATATCAACAATGTAGCAAAAACAATTGATGAAAGTAACAACAGTCCTTGACATCCTATTAACCATATTGTTTACAGTTCTTGATTAACCCTTCCATTATGGGCTGGGTGGAATCCACCTCGCTTATAACCACGAAAGTATCCATGAGAGTAATTATATTATGATTTTTCATAATGTATGCATATCTTTACAAAGTTTTGCAGGTTATTGGTAAATATTACAAGGTTTTTGTACACAAAATATCAGGTTTTTTAAATTAAATATTAAGATTTTTTTAATTAAAAGATTTTCTCAAACTTTTTCTTTAAAAATGTTGACAATCCAACATGCAAAGCAATTTTAATTTTAAGATTAAAAATACTTTAATGCATTAGAACATTTTCAAATTTCACATTGCAAAATCTATATAATCTCCAGAAAATTATAAAACTTTTGAATAAAAAAACTTTTTTTTTGTTCTTTTCACTAGTGTCTTTCTGAACAGGTTGGTTCAATATGACTGATTTCGTAACCTCAATAAAAAATTAGGAAAAAATATAAATTATGCTTTTTTCGTTCTAGAATGACTACAGATTATAACATGAAAACACAAATTTTTAGTCTAAATAGCTTAAATTTTATAACCTTATACATTTATATGTATTTAATAATTTTGTTATATTGACCTTCCAGCCGTGCCTGGCTAACAATGTAGATGTTACAATGACGAGGCACTTTAGTCTTTACAAAGTGACCTGTCTTGGCTGGGTTTTAGTGTACTAGTATTTTGTGAAATACAATCACATTTCAACTGCCCCCCAGTGGCACAGCGGTATGTCTGCGGACTTACAATGCTAGAATCTGGGTTTCGGTACCCGTGGTGGGCAGAGCACAGATAGCCCATTGTGTAGCTTTGTGCTTAATTACAAACAAACAAACACATTTCAATTATTATACATTATATATGTTTATACATTATTTCTATTTACAAATAAGCTCTTAAACTTATTTTTCTTAAAACATAGAACAGTAAATAAAGTATAGGAAACAATTATCTCTTCTAGTTACGATCTTTGTACTCGTTTGCTGCTTGTCATAAGTTGCTAAGCCTTATGAAATTTCCCACGTTGAGGATGTAAAAAGAAATTTTTTTTATGTTTTATATATACATTTTACTTAACCAGAAAAATCATAAAATACTATACTGATACCATAGAATTCCACTATAATTTATCAAGCTTAGTAACTAAGCTGTATTTGGGTCCTAAAAAAATACGAAATTTTGAGCTCACTAAAGACGTACCTTATTCTTTGAAATCTTATGTGAAAAGAATGAAATTAGCAAAATTACATGTCAAAATGGCTGAGAAAACCACTAGGTGGACATTCAGAGCTCTTGGTTGGTTATTCATGTCATATATAGAACTAAGTGTATATATATGGGACCATTTTCAGAAAAGGGAAAGAGGTGGGCAGGGGGGCACTGTGTTTGATTCAGTATAGGAGTGATATATTAGCAAATAGAAAAGATAAGATGTTCTTATTTTATATTCTAGCTAGTCAATATCGGTAGTTTGAATTCCTTATTCATACGAAACAGTATATTTTGTATTTTGACATCACAAACATCTAATTTGAACCAGTGCTGCATTCAACATACCATGTGACACACAAAAATCGATGTTTAGCTATGTCTTTTTAATATTTACTTTTAAATTAAGAAATTAACTAACATATAATACTAAAATTTGAATTATAATTTACAATTTGATACCAAACGTATTGACATAGATTCATAAAATATTAGTTCAATAAAACTTTGAATGCAAGTCAACAAATGCGATGACGTGGCCCTTGAAACATGATCCGTCAAGATAGGATTAAGTTAGCATGGATTTAAGTGCACACAATAAGCACACATATATGTGTGTGTGTTATTATACAATATAAATAACATTGACTTAAACTATCATAATTTTTATTTCAATATTTGTCATGAAAGATGAGAAGGCAGTGTTTGAAAACAACATCCAACACTTGCATCTTTTTAAGAGTTTTTATAAAATGCAAAACCCTTTTCCATTTGCTCTTTTTTAGAATTTTTTTTCTTTCAGTATTTCTTTCCTTTGAAGGAATGTTAATACAGTATTTTTTAAAATGTAATTTCCAATATTGATTTTATATTTGTCCTTACTAAAAGTATTTTGAATAAGATTTTAATACCTTTATGTTAAAATGTTTCATTTCACTTTTTACATGATGTCACATCATATGCTCTTGAATATATAAAAGGTTTTTTGATTATTTATCTATTTAAAAACATTGGGATGAATATATTGCTTTGTGGGTAAAAAAATTTATTAACACTATGTTACTTTTGTATTTTTTTAGGTTTCAATCACATTTGACCCATTTCTTTACCTCTCAGTTCCACTTCCAAAAAAATTGCAAACCTTCACAGTCATCTTTTTTACTAAAGATCCATACTGCAGACCTGTTCAGGTAAGGTGAATACTTTAATGCAGTTTAAAGGATATTCTAAGGAGGTTACTGAAACTAGCTTCACATGATTATAAGTTTTAAAATATGTTAACTTTAATTAGATGGGAAGTTAGATACGTAAACAAACTTTGAAGCTAGTTCTTTTCCTGTGCTTTTGTCATTTTCATTTTTGGTGTTCTAAAAGGTGTTTCAAAAGTCTGTTGTCATAGGCTGAATGTACATTTATATTTATAGATTATACAAAAGGGTTTGTCCTCAAAATCAGTACAAAACTAAAAATGTTCAATCCAGATCACCCTCACACACACATTTATTAATGTTTTGTGACATTATTTAAAAAATATGCATTGAAACAGGAAAAGCAGTGTTACATAACCAACTGACTTTTAGACACACTGTAATTCATCTTCCAGTTATAGATAAGTTCGTATATTTACAGTGTTTTTAAAAAAATAATTGACACCACATAGTTAATTGGATTGGACACATTTTTCTCTTCCATTCTTCTCAAACTTAGTTATCTTAGAGTGTATGACACACTATACATGTATGCACCTGTGTTTAATAGTAAATGGAGAAAAGAAACATTATACCAGTTAATTGTCAAATGATAATGATGAGTTTGTAAGATTAACATGAAAGCCTAATTTAATGATATATCTGCTGTCAATACAGAAACTTTATTTATGTGGTTTGTCAAAATACTTTAACCTACTCTCCATTCTGAAACATCTGCATGAAACTCAATAATTTTAAAATAAAAAAATTAATTTTTTAGATGATGGGTAAACTTGCGTGTGTGAATCCAGTTATTTTTAATAACTGATAAATTTAGTTATTATTAAATAAGAAAGAATCATACTTCACCATAAAATAAGTTTTTAGAGGTCAAATTTCAGAAAATTGTGAGTTTTGTTTACTTTATGTTAAATCTGAACTGTCTTTTGTCTTGAGTGTTCATTAGAGATTGCAAAAAATAGAATATATACCATAAATATATTTTTTAGATACATAACTATTTCTAGTTGTTGTTTTTTTAATTCTCATAAATTATAATATTTGATATATTTCTCAGTGCAAGAGTTTATTAAAACTGAATGACAGTTTTCTGGATAGGATTTTTCCCCTCAGTTTTTTATTTATTCCTCTCTCTCTGTTATCATTTAAATTAATAAAATAACACATTGCAAATAATTCTAAAACTTAGTTGATATTAACTGTTTTTTATCATTGAAAACCTGTTTTAGGCCAGTTAAGAGTAAAAGTGTTAAAATTTTAAGTCACTCTGAATGTTTCAGTTTATGTTATTAGGCTTCTAATGTTGTAACATTAATGTTGTTAGATCTGTTTATGCTTGTATAAATATGAAAGAAGCTGGTAAAAACGTGAAAGTAGTTAAGCCTGTAAGGATGGTAGAAACATCTCGACTAAGTAGTTTTTACTCCATAACAAAATTGTTAAATAGAACATGGATGACTTAAATATTATTTAAATATTTAAAAAGTTCTTGGTATGCTTTTTATATTTCTATATCCAGTACACAGTTACACTGAATCAGAATGCTGCTGTTGAAGATTTAAAGGAAAAAGTATCTAAGAAATTTGGTGTCAAAGCAAATAATGTGAGTAACTTTTAATGTATTAAAATGTTAGAGTTTACATAATATATCTTCCTAGGAATGTTTAATGAATCTAAATATACATATAAAAGTGCAAATGGATTTGGTAATTTTTAGGTGAATAAAGTGAATTTCAGTAGTAACTTTCTCATGAGACTTTTAACCTACCAAACATCTGGATGTTTTAGAATTTGAGGATCGGTGATGAAATTGGTTTGTTCTCCATATAAAAAATAATTAGTGTAATAGAAGTATAATTTTTTAAACTCATTACTTGTTTATTGAGACAAAAACAGTTTAGGGGTTCAGTAGACCCTGTATTAGTTGTGTGTATCATTTTGTAATGGATTTGAAGTTTTCTATGCACTACATGTATTTGGAGTGTAGGTGTGGGTGACAGTTGTTCCACTCTAAGCAAATGAAGTCCATAACAATATAAAACTTAATACATTATACTGTACCTGATATTACTCTTAAAACAAAACCTGGGTGTGTTATTGAATAACAAAAAATGCAAGGTTTGATGAGCTTAGAATAAATTGTGGAGAAGAAATAAGAATAAACATTTTGTTTACTACTTTCAATTGAAACACACTGTTTACTTTTCTCTTCCAGTTGCGGGTATTTGAAGTGTATAAAAGAAAGATTCAAAAATTCTTTGGAAAAGGAAGTACCCTATCAGGAGTTACTCCCAATGATCAGCTTTTCGTGTGAGTATCTGAAATGCTAATTTATGAATATTGTAATTTGTGTTTTGTGAAAAAGGTGATAAAAAATGTCATAGAAGAAAGGAGAAAAAGTTCATCAATTGAATTAACTTTTCCTTTTAGGTTTGAAGTGTTAGATGAAATATTAGCTGGTGAGCCTGTTTTGGAATTTGCTGTTATTCAGGTTAGTTTTTTGTAATTTTCCTTTCAGATGTGTGTTTAAATCACTATTATAATAAGAGAAGAAAAACTAAAAAATTTTTTCATTGTAAAATAATAAACGTGTTTTTTAAAATTGTTGAGTAAATAATTCTTTTCAGAGGAATACAGCTTCTAACAATGTATTTAGGTTTGTTTTTAAATAAGATTTAAAACCACCCCTACCAAAATTTGGAAACTTTTCCTGTATTATACTTTTCTGTTAAACAGCCAGTTTGAGAGAAAAGATTCCCATGTTTCTCTAATTTTGAAAATGTGATTAACCCTTTCCAGGCTTAGCAATCTACGTCAAGCAGCAACCGAGTGCAAAGAGATAATTGTTTGCTTTACTTCTTTATTTACTGTTCTATGTTTTAGTAAAAATAAGTTTAAGAACTTATTTCAAAATAGCAACAATCTATATACACATATAATGTATAATAACTGAAATCTGACTGTATTTTACAAAAATATTAGTCGACTAAAACACAGCCAAGACAAGTTACTCTGTACAGACCAAAGGTTACCTTTATGTTATTTGATATGGTAACATGAGTGCATGTGAGTTGCATCGTTGTAACTTCTGTATTGTTAGCCAGGCATGGGTGAAAGGTCAATATAATAAAAATAATAAATATATATAAATGTATAATGTTATGAGGTTTAAGCTATTTCGTCTAAACATTTATGTTTTCGTGCTATAATTTGTGTTCATTCTAGAATGAAAGTGGCATACTTTATGTTTATTACCTAATTTTTTATGGTGGTTGCGAGATCGGTCAAATCTACCAAACCCATACATGTGATTAATTATTGAAAATAACAGATAAAATATAAAGTTTTTTCTTAAGAAATGTTTGATAGATATTTGGACATTATAAAGATTTCGCATGTGAAATTTAAAAATTTTCTGATGCATAAAAGTATTTTTAATGTTAAAATGAAAATTACTTTGCATGATAGATAGGCAAGATGTGAAAAGAAAAAAAAAGGCATGAGAGAAAACATTGCTTTACAAATCTTAAGACTTAATAAAAAAAATTTTGATATTTTGTGTATGAAAGCATTGTAATATTTACTGATAAACTGCTAAATTTC